AGAAACTACAAACAATACAAAATCAATGTCTGCGATTTATATATAACATCAGATATGAACAAAGAATAACAAACGAAGAATTGCATAGGAGAGCCAACATCGAGGCAGTAAATGGAGACATACACAACAAAGCTAAAAAAAAACGTTGGGGCAAGTAGAAGAGTTAGAAGCTGTAACTCACTGGCTCGAAAATTAAATAGAGAGAAGAATGAGAGAGCATTCATGGTTCAGGTCGAGCAGACCATGACTAAACAACCCAGTACCAATACCAAGATACAACTAAAAACCTCAAAACAATATAATGACAAAATAAAACAAAAAAATCGCATAGAATGAATAGCCAATTAAAACACTGGCAACACAAAATATCAACCTTTTCAATTAAAATAAAACATAGGATCACCTCCTTGCGAACCAAAGTAGCAAGTTGGATCCTACAGCAATACCTTGCAAAAACTTTTCTTATTTTAAACAAAAGTTTCAATTAAAAAAAAAGTAAAAAAGAGAGAGAGTGACTAACGGACACTCTCCTTGGCCTCTCCAACCCCTTTCTGTTGCTTTTCCTCCCCCCTTTTCCTCCCACCTTTATCAAAGCAAAAGATACGATGTTAAGCCATCTGCATAAAGAGGCTGGCCAGAAGTCGTCGCCTCTCCTTTGAAATACTGGCTACTGCAGTGACAAAACATAAACGAGAAAAAAGCCAAAGGCCTGAGAGCAAGAACAAATATTACTAGTATAAAAGATCACCTAAATTTTAAAATACAGCGTATCTGGTTGAGCCCGGATACTTTTATTCTCCTACTTTCCTTCAAACTTCTCCCTCATCTACCTTCTCCTAAAATCCACCCCCCCCCCAATACGTCCAACCCAAACTCCCCTATCCTCCCACCCAGCAACAAACAATAGCCCTTCATCCTTATTTACAGGCATCAAGTCAAGTAAATTCAGTTGCCTCTGAAGATGTCTTGCATAAAGACGAAAGCTAAGGTACTCTAGTGTTTCCCTTTTCCTGTATGGTTTTATCGATATATATATATATATATATATATATATATATATATATATATATATATATATATATATATATATATATATATATATATATATATATGGGAGCCACATACTAACATGGCACTCATATGAGGTCTCACACTACCATACTACTCACACACACACACACGGGCTCACATTACCCCATACTACACACACACTGGGGCTCACATTACCCCATACTACACACACTGGGGCTCACATTACCACACACACTGGGGCTCACACTACCATACTACACACTAGGGGGCAGTGAAATTTTGCTCAAAGCTGCACTCTTCAGGCATTGTTCCTTATACATATCTAAGACTCCATGCCAAATTTGAAGCTGATATGTCGAGGTTTAGTCTGCCGCATTTTCTACTGAAATTTTTAAATTTACCTACAGTACTAGCCAAACAGCCGCTGTGGCGGTGCAATGTTCTGTTCAGTGTTTATCAACTTTTTTTTCATATCTCTTATTTCATTTAAGTTGTCTTGTTGCAGATGAGTATGGTGCATAGTTA